CCACTTCCAGCTTTTTTCTTTTTGCTTATGTGGTGCTGAGGAATCGAACCCAGGGCCTCAGGCATGCAAGGCAAGCACTCTACCACTGAGCCACCTTCCCTGCCCCTGAAGAAGTTAGTTTTGAAAGTAGAGCAATTGGATTTATTAAAGGATTATATGCAGGCTTTAAGTGGAGGGTTTGTTTTGTTTTGTTTTTTTGTTTTTGCTGTTAGTTGTGGGTCTTGAACTCTGGGCCTGGGTGCTGTCTCTCAGCTCTTCAGCTCAAGGCGAGTGCTCAGTGAAACTGAGATTAAGAAGGATTTAATCAAGAGCTGGTATGAGCATAGGGCTGAAGTAGAGTGGATGACAAGTTAATCTAAGGAGAGAGCTCAAGGCAGAGAGAAACCAGAGAATGTTCATCCGTTTGCACATTAAGGAATTAAACAAGAATAGATTTACAGAGACTGAGCTAAAGAGCTAAAATTAAGAATAAGTGACTGCAGAACAAGAGTGAATTTTAGAAAGGGGAGGGGGGAATTTTCTAATAGCAATGAAAGGAAGAAGAAATTTGCCTGTGTTCAGAGAGAGAACAAGAGCTTAAAAGTGAACCACCAACACTTGAGAGTGCTTTCAAAATAGGGGAGGAAGAAGTAAAGTTCCTTTACCACAATGAAACATTTTGCTTATCATTGTGTGATGATTTTTTTCTTTTTACCAACATTAAATTAAAGACACATTTATAAACAGGACAAGCCTGGTTTATAGGGGAGGATACTGAAACCAAGTTTAAAGGACTTTTTCTTACAGAAAGTTCAAAATTCTCATTTAAAAATTTTTCACTTTGCACTGAAAGTGTTCTGACATTAGTCTTGGGACTTGAAGTCAGTGTCTGGACACTGTCCCTGAGCTTGTTTTGCTCAAGGCTGGCACTCTACCACTTTGAGCCAAAGTTCTACTTCCAGTCTCATACTTTCCTGCCAGCCCTGCTTTTGAACTGTGAGTCTCAGATCTCAGCCTCCTGAGTAGCTAGGATTACAGGCCTCAGCCACCAGTGCCCAGCTCCCCTTCAGATCTTGAAAGGGGCTGTTGGATTGGAATTTTCAGTTGATACCTTCAGTTTTCTGCATGGTCCTGGGTTTCTAAACAAAAAGAAAACCCGCAAATTTGGTGCGTGTGGGAGAGATTTAGAGACTTATCACTGCTGGAACCTCTTGCCTCCATTCAGGACAGTGAACTCTTCTATCATCTTCTCCAATCTTGATTTTTTTTTTTTTTGCCGGTCATGGGGCCTGGACTCTGGATCTGGGCGCTGTCCCTCAGCTCTTCAGCTCAAGGCTAACGCTCTACCACTGGAGCCACAGCGCCACTTCCGGCTTTTTTCTGTTTGCTTATGTGGTGCTGAGGAATCGAACCCAGGGCCTCATGCTTGCAAAGCATGCACTCTACCGCTGAGCTACCTTCCCAGACCCTTGATTATTTTATTTTTATAAGTTATGGATCTCATAATTGCAAGTTCCTATCCTGTGGTACAATCATCTGCAAACACAGTGACCATTTGGCCCCCTTTCTCTCCCCCTGGAGACGGAAACTCGGAGAGGGAATCCGTTACTAGGATACTTGGTGAGTAATACATAGTTTGTCCTCTGATTCAGAGATCTCTGCTTCCTGTCAGATCATATGTCTGCATATCAGGAACTGCACCAAGTGAGAGGTCAAAAGTTCTGACTTCATAAGCTTCAGGACAAATCCACCTCTGTTTGTTGAACTTGGTGTAGAAAATTGCACTATGTAAATATCCAGATTTCTTTTCTCAAACCAAATCTGTCCTCACATTCAGTTGTGACTTACTTGAAATTTTACATGTCATTTCTTTAATTACAGTGTTTTGAAAACTGATGATGATTTTAGGAACCCAGGAGCTGATACTGCTAATAAACATCTGGCCTTGTTGTTGTTGTTGGTGGTGGTGGTGGTGGTGGTGGTGGTGGTCATGGGGCTTGAACTCTGGGCCTGGGTGCTGTCCCTCAGCTCTTCAGCTCAAGACCACTTCAGCCACAGCACCACTTCCATTTTTCTGAGTTGTTTATCAGAGATAAGAGTCTCATGGATTTTCCTGCCTGAGATGGCTTTGAACCTTGATCCTCAGATCTCAGCCTCCTGAGTAGCTAGGATTACAGGCATGAGCCACCAGCACCTGGATCATCTGGCCATTTTAAGAGCTATGCCTTGCCTAGATAAAATAGTAGAACAATTCTGACAAACTAGTAAAAAGAATAATTCTTTTTCATGTTTTTCTCACCACATTTATGTTCTATTCTGGAGTTCCTCCTCCTCTTCCTTCCTCCTCTTCTTCTTCCTCCTTCTCCTCTTCCTTCCTCCTCCTCTTCCTTCCTCCTCCTCCTTCCCCTCTTTCTACTCCTTCTCCCTTGCTATCTCTTCAGACTTAGTATTTGGTCATCCTTTTTAACTTTTTGTCCCTACAGTCAAGTTATGCCAAACTCTTCTAGTACATCAGTTTATAACAAAAACCCCAGTAAAATTTCACTGAAGTCAGAATACGAAAGACCAGGTATGTGATATGACCTCCCTTGGAATGTTTGCTGCATGAGAATTGTGCCTTCTTGCCAAAAAGCCAAAACCTTGGTGTGCTTACACTGCTATGAAATAGACACGGTGACCATATTTAAGAACAGGTACTTGGAAGTGGCGCTGTGGCTCAAATGGTAGAGTGCTAGCCTTGAGCTGAAGAGCTGAGGGACAGTGCCCAGAGTTCAGGCTCCACAACCGACAAAAAAAAAAAAAAGAACCGGTACTATGTGTAAAGAGAAACATTTTGTTTAAAAATAAAAACTCTACACATTTAAAAGGTCATATACATCCACTTTCAAAAATGAGTAAATGAGTAGTGTTTGGAAAACAATTAAAAGCCTTGTCAAAACTTAAATACATGTACTCTTTGTCTAGCAATTTTACTTGGTTTGAAACACAAGTAAACATCTAAATTCAGTTGCATATATAGTTAGAAATTGCACTCTGAAAGAACCACTGAAATACCACTGTACACTTAGTTGAATGATATACACATATACATGCATGGGCCCATATGTATATATACCTATGTAAATAATTACATATAATCTATGTGGATAAATATAGAACATAAATCTGAGAGTGTCTAGATGAGGAAGAGAAGGAAAGAGGGAAAAAGAAAGAGAGCTGAATAATTTTGAAGTATATTGCAACTGTATATGAAACAGCATGGAGAAACTTGATAAAAAGGCCTTGGTCAATAAAGAGCTAATGATGGAGAAAGATTGTGCTTGTGGGGTGGACATTAGTAGAAGGAACTTGGACGAACAAGTGGAATAGATGAGAATGAATATGGTTAGATAGTTTGTATCTGTGAGATTAATAGAGGCACAACTTCAATATTGTCAAACAACAGTCTGTCTATAGAAATGTACTATGTACCCAGATCAATTTTTGCGGCGAACGGCGGCCGCGGGGAGAAGACTGGCATTCCCTAAAAATTAAAAAAAAAATTCTCAAGCAGTGTTTTGCCTACAGTGTTTATAGCTGCCAAAAGGAAGGAATGAACAAACTAAGGACAGGAGAAAGTAAAAGAGAAAGAGGGAAGGGGAGGGAAGGGAAGGGATAAGGGAAGAGCAAGGAGAAGTCACTCTAAGTTCAAAAAGAAAAAGACTAACGTATTAATTTAACTGGTTATTTGCTTCTCATTTGAACATGATTTCTTAAACCAGACAAATGAGGTCTGTCTGGAAAGAGGTGGAAGATCTCGATCTTCTCAGAGATTCACGCGAGTCAGTCCGAGATCACCGTGGAGGGGGGGGGTGGGCACATTCTAGAGAACGTTTGACCTTCTGCGCCATCTGCGATCCAGTCTCTTAGGCACATTTCTCCAGTACCTCTCTTCTGAGTCCCTCTCTCTGTTTGGGGCTAGATGGAGTGGGTCTCAGACTGGGGACTGATGCGCCCGGGGTTTGCCTGGGCGCGCAGCGCGCGCGTGCGCGCGCGCGCACGCGCGCGCGCGGTGCAGTGGTGCGCAAGCGCTCCCAGCGCCTCCCTCTAATTCAGGCAGCTGGGGGAAGCCAGGAGCCGGGACTGGACGCTCTTTAAGAAAGTCTTCCCCAAAGCGCGCCCCAGGCGGAGGCCCTGGGCCTTGTAACAGGTGCCTTTGTGATCCGCAAGGTGCTTGGGCCACAGCACCGTCTGCTGACTGTCAGTTACTAGGTGCGATGGGACTGGAGCGCCGGTCGGACGGTGTGATCCTTTGGTGGACCATATAAAGAGAGATTCGTGGAACGGAAGGATGGGGGACAGATACCCGGGACATGGAAAGTCTGAGCAACAGGCATTGGCATCTGCGAAAGAACTTGGCACATCGGAGACAATTGCCCTAAAATAAACCAAAGAACTGAGTGGTAACCCGAGGATGGCGGCGCAGAGCGAGCGACTTGGAAGATCTTCCCGGAAATGCGGAGAAACGCGAGAAGTAAAAATTCTGAATTGACCGTGGGAATCCTGGGAAAGAGACTGGCTCTTTTCTTATAGTTCGTGTTGTATTCTAACAGCAGCATTTTCCTAAGAGCTATTTGGGGAGGGGGAGCGGATATTCAGAAAATGATCCAGTGGAGCAATGGGTTAGCGCGCAGTGTCTTCGATCCAGGAAATTCAAGTTATGGTTTTTACACTGGCTCATATGTGAAGCCGTACTAGGCCCTCAATAAATGTTGACTGAAGACATCTTTTTACTAAATCCTGGCGAATTGATCTGAGAAAAGCCAAGGCCCTGTGACTACTTTGAGCCTTCCAGGGTGTTGGTGGGCACCTGGGAAGGTGAGGAAAAAGGAAGTTCTCATGCATATATAACCTGAGGACCCTAGGGAGGGTCCTCACCCTCCCCCCCCAAGCTCCCACTCAATCAAAAGGCAAGAATACGGTTTGGGCTTTAAAAAGACCTTTTATAGTGTTATATAAGCGATAACAAAAATGGAAGTTTGCAGGGGCAGGGAGGCAATGCAAAAAAAAAAAAGCAGGGAGAAAAAAAAGCAGAGCAGCATTAGATGAGGTGGCACAGGTCTGGCAATCTTCCATCTTTTGAGCTGGAGCGTGGACATCAGGCCTGCCTGCAGAAAGCAAAAAGAAACCAGAAGTCAAAAACCAGCTGCCAGTTCCTCCCAATTCTCCTGTATTCCTCCCCTCCAGATATTCTGAAGGTTTGGGACAGGATACTCCAAATGTCTTCCTTGCTTTTTGGACATCCACTTGCCCTGCCTTAGATTTGTGTGTCCTTTCTAAATGCCAGTCCTGCAACACTCCCCAAGCAGCCTGGCAGACTTGTCCCCATGTGGCCCCACCCACGAGGGTGCAGGAAGACTAAGTTCTTATGCTGCACTGCTCTAGCAGTAGGGCACAAAGGAGCCTCCCGTTTTTGCAATCATAGACATCTTTTTGCATCTAAACTAGTACAGAAAGAACCAGAAGTCCCTTGCCTCATGCACCCCCCAAAACCATTAGCTTCAGCTACATTTGCAGAACAAAACAGGCAATTCTTTTATCTACTGGAGTCTTATAAGATCTGGTTTCTGCCCTCTCTAATGTACTCAAAGACTGCTCAGGGTCACTAAGTCAGCCTAACCCTCCAAGCTCTATCAGTCTTTGCCTTAAAACTGAACCCAGGGCAACTCTCCTGCCCATCCATTTCTCTAACCCCTATAAGTTCTTCCTGTTCACCCTTACCGGCCTGATTTTACAAGCTTACTTTTCTAAATTAGGTTCTTAATGTATTTAAAGTCTGTTTCCCAGAATGTAAGATCTATGAAGGCAGACCTCCAGTTCTGTCTTGTTCATCTTTGTGTTCCAGCACAAATCACTTAATGTTTTTCACTAAAGAATCAATCTGGGCTGAAGATGTAGCTTCAAGGAACTTCCTTCCCTAGCATACACAAAGGCCTGGGTTTGAGCCCCAAACTCTCCTCCAACTGGAAACAAACAACAACAACAAAAAAGAGAAGTTGAAGTCCACCTCCTTACTCCTGGGTTTTGTATATGTGGGTTTAACTAATCTCCCTTGGGAAATCTAGTTAGAACATGGTTGCCACTGTATAAAATATGTAAGCATTGTTTCCTAATAATTATTCTCCAACAACTCAGTGTCATAACATCGCCTTAAGTATTAGACATTATCTAGAGATACAAATTAGAAATCAGCTCTACAGGAGGAGGTGGAGTTATGTGGTAGAGTGCTTGCCTAGTATTGTGAGACCCTGGGTTCTATCTTCAACAAGGTTAAAAAAAATGTACTCATTTGTTGCCATTCAAGGTAGACAACTACCTTTGATGGTCTCTCCTTTCTTAAGTCAACTTCAGAGCAACACTGGTCTTTCCTTCTACTTGAATGTGTGAGGAGAGCTAAGATAAAGAGTGGCTAGGTTAAAGATCTTCTCACCTTTTACTTCCTATTCAAAGCTCAGGTTTTGCAGTGTTTTGTGAACTTCTTATCTAATTGCCTTGGGCTAGATTCCACTCTGTCCCCAAGGCTCTCTGAAGTCCCAGTTCTAAGCCAAAATAGGATAAATTTAAATATTTTTGAAGTCATGTTCCACTTATTCATGCTAATTTCATGTTGCCAGATATAGCTATTTTGGTTTAAAGTTATTTAGATATTGAATAATTTTAAGCATTATTTAAAATCACATACAATGTTGTTTAAATATGAAATAAATAAATATTTTGAAAGTAGCTACTGGCTACTCAGGAGCCTGAGATCTGAGGATAATTGTGTCAGTCAGCCCAATCCAGGAGACTCTTAATTTTCAATTAACCACCAAAAAAGCCAGAAGTGGAGCTGTGGCTCAAGTGATAGAGTGCTAGCCTTGAGCACAAAAGCTCAGGAACAGTGCTCAGACCCCCGAGTTCAAGCCCCACGACTAGTACTGTATATAAAATTATTCTCTCTTCAGCAAAACCCAAAGTAAAGCCAGCCACTGGGATAAACAGAAGTCTGGTGAGCAGATTGGAGAAGCAGCCAGAGTAAGGCTTTGAAATTCATGAAGGAGTGAAATGGAGAAAGGTTGCGATTCTAGGAGACTTATCTGTCTCCTAGCAATGGAAGATTTCAGCCTGGAGGAGGGAAGGCCAGGGTCTCTCAGAGCCGACTGGGGAGTCTCCACCCCAGGTACCCTTACGATCCTTTAGAGAATCTTTGGGAAACACTGCCTAAGGCAGAGAGGCAGATTTTCTTGGAAATTATGGAGTTGGCCTGGTGACAAAGGTTTGCGAATGGGGAAAACTTGGGTGGTACTGGAGAGGAGCAGTTGGGCTTTTGTAAGTATGTTTTTGGAGGTGCAACTTCTCTGCTGCTCTGGCTCTGGCTCTACCATTGTTAATGTGCAAGGGGTGTGAGCTTGAGCGAACCCGAACCAACGCAACTTTCCCTTCGGAAACCGCTCTCTCTCCAATCCTTGGACCACTGGTCTCACCTGAATTCACTTAGCTGCCACTCTCAGGGGCCCTAGCAGCCGCGCGCAGGTATCGCGCGACTTCCCAGTGGCCCCGCTCTTCAGCCAGGTCCACGGGCAGCCGGCCCCAGGCATCGCGCACATGCAGCTGCGCCCCGGCCCGGTGCAGCATCACCAACGTGTCCAGGAAGCCCTCCCGGGCCGCGTCGTGCACGGGTCGGGTGAGGGTGGCGGGGTCCACCCTGTTGGGCTCTGCCCCGTGGAGCAGCAGCAGCTCTGCCACGCGGGTGTTGCCCATCATCATGACCTGTGGGGAGATGGGGGACACTGGTCAGGACAGGGTGCTGGAAATGGCTGATTCGAAAGAAGCAAATGTCCATTTCATGTTTCCGCACACATGGAATCCCGCTGCCGTCTTCTTCGCCTACACGCAGGCTACACGTGCAGGGAGGAACTGGCTTTTACTTCAGACCCATTTCCTGTATATTTCCTCTCATTTTGTGAAGAAATTCTTAGGCTCTGGGATTCTGTGTAGTTCCCATGTGGATATTAGCGCAGACATGATAATGATTAAAAGGCATGTGGTGCGTGTGTTTGCACGAATTAACCTTCTCATAAAAGGTTGTGATCTTCCTGAAATGTAAAACTTATATTTTTCCAAGCATAAAATGAGAAAAAGTGGTCCTAAAATTTTTTCCTGTGGTAATAACATTTCACCAAATTTTCACAGATGATCTTGGGGTGGTGGGGGAGGGCAGAGAGAAGAGACAGAGGCCACAAACGTAGAGCTGTGAGAATCAGGGAAATTATTTTTAAACATCCTTCTTTTGCTGGATGCTGGTGGCTCATAGTCTGTAAGCCCAGCTACTTGGGAGGTCAAGGTCTGAAGATCGTGGTTCCAAGCCAGCCAGGGCAAGAAAGTCTAGGAGACCTTCTTCTCCAGTTAACCACTGGTAAACCGGAAATCTGTGGCTCAAAGTGGCAGAGCTCTAGCCTTCAGCCAAAAAGCTCAGGGACAGTGGCCAGCCCTGAGCTTAAGCCCCGCCACTGACAAAAAGAAAGAAAGAAAAAATTCCTTCTTAGCGCTCCCCAAAGGAATGAATGCACCATATCAATTAAATTTAATTTCAGATGTCTAGAATTATAAATGGTTTTGTTTGGTGAGATAACTACATTTGTGATAATTCAAGCAATAATAAGAAGCATAACTATCAATTCCTAACTCATCTTTGAAATAAAGTCATTTCTAAAGAAAAATGTTAAAAGAAGGCTGCAATATATTATATAATGGGTGGTGGTGGTAGGCATTTGTATTATTTGATTATATTAGCTCAAAGACAGAGACTTTCAAACAGGAATTGCTTATTTTTATTATGCTCCGTGTCCCATTAAACTGAATCCAGTATTTTTTTCTACACCATGGAACAAAAATGAATTATACTATTGCGACTGAATCTTACTGAAAATGAAATTGTTTTAGTTTCTAAAAGATAACCAAGCAAAATATAATTTAACTAAATTACAAATACAGAAAGCCAGAAAAAAAATTGCAATTCAGTGTCCTAATGTGATGAAACACTTCATTTTGGTAATTGGCTTTACCTTAAAAGTTTTTCACATATTTTATGGTATGAAGAAACTGGAATGTAACCCATATTTAAACTGGAATAGCAGTCCAAAGTAAAAAAAAAAATAGAGGACTCTTTAATAAATTTAATAATACATTAATCTGAATTTTCTATAAACTGATATTTGTGTCACGCAGCAATCTGGTTGAAGTTCAAAACCAAAACCATTTCCTCTTTCTTCTCCTACTAACCAAGTCAAAACTAATCATCCATTTTTTTTCATTCATTTCAGATAAATTTTCTTTTCTTAGAATGAGAAGTAATGGTTGCCATCGGTTGTAATGCTGACTGCTGGGAAGAATTTTATTCAACTTGAAATTTTGGAAGAATTGAAAGCAAACACACCCGGTGACACAAAACCGAACGAAGGACAACAGGGAAGGAACTACATGTCTCAACAATAAGAAATTGAATTATATCCCAAAAGCACATGTCAACTAAGTTTTAAAATAGCAGATAGTAGAGCTATACCCTCCAGAAGTTACCTAAGGCATATGTCAGGCGAGTTCGCTGGTTTTGTTCATACATTTGCCTTTTACTTACTAAATTTACCTCTAGCAGTCAAAAAGCAACTCAAGATACAGTTTCTCAATAATTTTGGTCGACATGTATTCCAATATACAAGGCAGATTTCCAACGAAATCTCCCTTATGCAGGAAGAAGACAGGTTCCAAATACATTTTTTTTTTGTATCTGAGAGCGTGGAAAACTCAATCTGACACAACAGACACAAAGAGACACAGACACAGACACGGACAGACACAGACCCCCCCTCCACACACACACACACACACACACACTGCCACCCTTGTACCTTCTTCCTTCCAAGGCTTCATAAGTACCGAGAATCCTGAGACGCCGGTTTCCAACCTCCCCACACACATCAAAAACTCCCCCCACCCCCACCCCAGGAAATGGTGTCTTTTCGGGGTTGAGTCGGGGCGCTACCTGGTTGCATTTCTCCTGGGCTGACCCGATCCTCCGGGCTTTCCTACCTGAATCGGCCTGCGCCCTTGACGGTTCACTGCGTCGGCGGCCACCCCGGCCTCCAGCAGCGCCCGCACCTCTTCCACGCGGCCCCGGGCCGCGGCCGTGGCCAGCTGGTCTCCGGAGAGTTCCATGCTGCTCCCAACCTCGGGCTGATTTCTCCCCCTGCACTTCCCCGGCTGGCCAGCGCGGGCGACCCACCCCATCCTCCCCGCCCTCGGGTGACCACGCCGCCCCTTCCACGATTGGCAGCGGCGGTCCCCCCCCCGACGTCCCCACCCCACCCCGCCCGACCGCGCAGGCCTGCCACCGTGGGAGGCGCTGCGTGCGCAGAAAGGAACGTGACTAGGACACCCCTGAATTCAGGGGTCCTCGGTAAAATCGAGGGGGGGGCGGAGGTGAGGGGGGCACTCGGCCCGAGCCTTGCCAGCCGCGGGCCGGGGCCAGCGATGGAAGAAGCTCCCTCCCCACCTGCGGCTCCGCCGCGCGCGCTTGCGCGCGGGCGGCACTCCACTCCCTTCCTCCACGCCGCGCCTTCCGGCCGCGCTGGAAAGGCTCACAGGGGTTTCTGATCTGCTTCTCTGCCACAGCAGGGAGTCAGTTTCCCCCTGTTTCCTTCCTCCCCAGTGCCACAGCCTCTCAGTGCAAAAAAGAAAACACCCAGGAGGGCTTCTTCACTGCCCAATTTAAAGTAGGTGTTGTTTAATATCAAGCTCAGTTTTTTGTTTGGTGCCAGTCGTGGGGCTTGAAACCGGGGCCTGGGCGCAGGCTGCCCCTAAGGTTCTCTTTGCTCAGGTCTAGCACTCCACCACTTGAACCACAGTGGCACTGGCTCTTTCTATGTCTGTGGTACTGAGGAATGGAAGCCCAGGGCTTCGTGCAAGCTAGGCAAGCACTCCACCACCAAGCCACCCCAAATCCAGTCCTGCTTCCTCCTTTAATCAGAAGAAAAGGCAAAGCCATTTCCCTCCTGTTGGTAGGGGCCCCATCGAAAGGTCGGTATAGCCGGTATGACCTCGCTTTGTTTCAAGTGACTCTTTCTCCTCCTCTACATAGCTTTCGGCACTAGGTTCACGGCAGAGGTGGTATGCCAGAAATACAACTCAGAATTCTTCTTTGGCAAGTCAGCCTGCTAGTCACTCCCTCCTGGTTGCAAAATGGAGGTCTGTCCCAGCCAGGGTTTTTCTGAAGTGTGTGTTGCCTTATATAATAAAGGCTGGCTCTTAAAGAGATGGGGGAAATTCTGCTTGTAAGCAAGTAGGAAAACACTACTGGTTGTCTTCTCGTCAGGCAGAGAAGAAAATGCTTTGGACAGTTGTATAAAGGGAATACTATATATGTGTGTTATGTTATACTAATTAATATATTATACGTTAGATAAAGGGAAAGACCAAGAGATCACTTGAAGGCAGTACATTCCCTTGTCCATCCTTGCATTGTATAATGAAAAGTTAGACCGAACTAGAGTATAGCAAGGAAAAAGAACTACAAATTTAAAACTGCAAATTTAAACCTCTGGGTATTGCTGTTATGCTTTTAACAGCACACATTAAAAAATTAGATTGCTTAGATTGTGCTGGTCCGTTAAACATATGTTTCCTCTGTCTACTGTATAATCTATGCCTACTTAAATATTTCAGTCCCTGTTTGACCTGTCTTGCTGACTCAGGCTGCTTCTTTGTTTCAGAAGCAGTTCCGCAGCAAAACATGCTTTTTTAAAATAATGTCAATTAAAATGCTTATGACTGGGGCTGGGAAGGTGGCTCAGTGGTAGAGTGCTTGTTCTGCATGCATGAGGCCCTGAGTTTGATTCCTCAGTACCATATAAGCAGAAAAAGCCAGAAGTGGTCTGTGGCTCAGGCAGTAGAGTGCTAGCCTGGAGCTGAAGAGCTGAGGGACAGCACTCAGGCCCAGAATTCAGGCCCCATGACAAAACAAAACAAAACAACAAAACAAAAACAAAAAGCCAATGGCTAGCCTTCAAATAACAAGCTAAGTATGTATTAAATAATTATTAGGCAGTTAATAACATGTGTGTGATAGGGAATTTCATTGAAGAATGTTAAGGATAGGTTATTCTGATTAAAGCAGTTAAGTTTACTGTAAGAGATTTGTTTTATCTGTACCACATATGAAATTGAGTTTAGGATCTTTTTTTTTTTTTTACTAAGGTTTGAACTTTACTCAGCTTTACGGCTGAACCAAACTCTAATGACTTTAAATTGACTTTGAATAAACTATTGTATAATTCTGTTGTTATCACTACTATAATTCAAAGTATAAATACAGCATAAAGAGTAACAGATAATTAGGTGGGTTTTTTTTTGCATTTTCCAAATTAACTTGGGGAGATTTTTGTGTTTGTTTTTGCATGCAGATTTAATTATTTGCTTTTGAATGCTCCATATTTATTTCTTCCTTTCCTTTTTTTTCTTTTTTGGTTGTTCTTTTTTGGCATTCACATCAGAGGCAGGTTGAAAAATTAAGAAGAGAAATTTTAGTCTTTTTCTAGAACAATGTCATCTAACTCACAAGGCTCTTGTCAAAGGACATTGATTCTAGGGAAGGAACTTTATATTGCTTTTAGTTTTTTTAAATGTCATTTTTTAGATGTCATTTTTGTAAATATCATTTTCCAAGAAGCTTGAATGTAGCATCCAGATTGAACCTGTTTTAAAGTCTGGTGATAGGATCAGGTGGCATCAAAAGTTCCAGTCCATTTTAGTATAGGTGCTTCCCAGAGTGTGCTGTGGTAGGTCATAGAATGCAGCTAGCTCTCTTGTTTGTGCTGTTACAGGACTCTTTGATCCCTATTTGGAGTGACCAGAAGAGATTAGTAAATCATTTAGGTATGTTATCTATTTCAACTTACTTTAAACCTGAAGAACATAGGACTGAACAGGTTGGATTTTTCTCTGGCCATTCCTACAAGTAAGGAAGGATGGAAAAAATCCTTATAACACTTACAGAGAGCTGTCTGGGACACATTAACACTGATGCTTGAGTAAGATGGAAGGAACAAGTTGAAGTGGATGTTGGATTGGTAAATCACAGTTTCTGTTAAAAATTGGATATCTTCTGGACTTAAGAGAAGAAGTAGACAAGGAAAATATGAGAATGAAAAAGAAATATGTTTTAGCTCTCAGAAATTTCCAAACTGTTAAGCACAAATGAGAATGGGATTCGAGGCTCAATATGGGAAGGGATTAAATAATTCACATAAAGAGAATTTAAGTTTAAGTGTGGCAAGCATTTTTCTAGATGTCTTGTAATGTTTTCTAAAATGTGTGTTCACTTACATATGTATTTCTGTGTAAAACTGAATTCGGGGACAATTCAGCTATTGATTCCTAAATCAAGAACTTTTTCAGCTCCTATACAATGAATATCAGGCTACTGGTGAAGGAAGGAAGAAAATGGGAGCTACACCATTAAAACTATTCTTTGGAGCTGGGCACCTGTGGCTCACTCCTGTAATCCTTGCTACTCAGGAGGCTGAGATCTGAAGGTCCCAGTTTGAAGCCAGTCTGGGCAGGAAAGCCTGTGAGACTTCTTTTTTCTTTCCTTTCCTTCCCTCCCTCCCCCTCTCTCTTTCTTTTCTTTCTCTCTCTCTCTGTTCCTTTCTTTTTCTTTTTTGCTGTTGTTGGTTGTGGGTCTTGAACTCAGGGCCTGGGCACTGTGCCTGAGCTCATGGACAGTGCTCTATTGCTGTGAACTACAGCTCCACTTCTGGTTTTCTGTTGGTTAATTGGAGTTAAGGGTTTCTTGGATGTTCCTGTCCAGGCTGGCTTTGAACTGTAATCCTCAGGTCTCAGCATCCTGAGAATTACATGCATGAGCCTCTAGTGCTGACTAGACTCTTATCTCCAATAATTAACAAAAGAGCTGGAAGTGGAACTGTAGGTCAAATGGTAAGTACTAGCTTTGAGCACAAAAGTTCTGGGCAGCACCTGAGCAGAGTTCAAGCCCTAGAACCAGTATGGCACTCATTAGGTGATGCATATGTAGAGGTTAAGTGTATTGGAAATGGCAAGACTAGGTTTTAGATATATGTACACTAACTTCATTTTTCCAGCAAAGCTAACAAAAGATTATGACACTTTTGTGCTGGAAGGTGACCCTGTTATCTATTATAAATATTGTGTGGATCCTTAATGTGAAAAATTTTCTAGTTTGTTTTAAACCTATCAGATTCCCAGTGTACTCATCTATCTCAATCAGACTAATACTCCAGATGAACTTAAATATGAAGTTCAGGCCCCTGGTATTAATGAAACCGACTTCTGATTTCACTAGTCTAAATTAAGATGTTGTAGGTCAAAAAGCCATTTACTTCTAAAGTGTGTTAATGGTTATTATTATCCTGTACTTAGTTCTCCTCTTCCCTGAAAATGTCATGGTATTTTTTTTAGATATGTTCGCCTTTGTAGTTTTGAAAATGATATATTATGAAATTTAAACCTGCCTCAATTCTGATACATCATTTAAAAAGAGTCCTACTTGTTAATTCACTCAATTAGCTAAAAAAAAAAAAAATAAGGCAGGGTATGAAGATGAGGTAGGTTAAAGAAATGGACTCTAGAATTGAACTGCCTGAGCTCAACCCTGACTTTTCTGCCTATTTATTTTCTAACTTTGAACCAGCTCAGAGCCTTGTTTTCTCATCTGTGGGGGGGGGAGGGTAATTAATAGCAAGGGCCTCACTTAGCAGATGTAGGGATTAAAGTATGCATTCCAGAAGGAAGCAGGGAGGGTGACTCACAAAGGTAGAGGAGTCTGGGGACATAGCTCAGTGGTGAAGCACTTGCTTAGCCAGAGCAGGGCCCTGTTTCTATCATGCAAAGGAATCTTACATAGGATGGCTCAGTGAGTCAAAAGGAAGTCTAGAAGTGAATGGGATGGCAAGAAGCAGGACACTGTGGGGACTACATGCTTTCCCTCCTTGGTTGTGACAGTTCAAGTAGGTGGATTGAGGTAGACGAGTGTGTGCGTGCACATCCCTCCTTCCCCCCAAGGGAAAGTGCCAGGGGGAAGAAGAGGGGGAAGAAAGTGGGAGGGGAAAAAGAGGGAGGGAAGGGAGAGGGAGTGCCCGGTGAAGGAGAGGGAAGGTGGAGGGAAAGAGGGGGAGGAATGGTGATCCAGATGGGGATAAGGGGTAGAGGCAGAGGGAGGAGAGGGAGGAAAGCTGACTGGGTCTTACAGAAGTCTCAAAGTTTCTCAAATGCAGAGAAGAAACAGAATCTGAGTCACTAGGGAAGCCACGTATTTCGCTGCAGAAGATACAGATAGATATGAGGAAGAAAAGATCAGATCAGGGAGGGAGTTGACTGACATATTTCTTTGTGCAAGTGAGGAGAGTGCCTTGTTTACAAGAGATTAAGGTAATGGGTCAGGAAGTTTAACTGCTGAAAAGTTTGGAAAGCCTACCAGACTGGGGGACACAGCTATGAAGGAACACTTAACTACTCAACTAAAGAAAGTCTTACAATGCTGTGGAACCTCTATAAACAAGGAATAGTATACTAGTAGATGTTGAATATGAATTTAATATATAAAATATAGAAATTTATTTAAGTCTGAACTTAGGTTCAGAATCTAACAAGGCTTTACAAGATTGTCAAGTGTGATATTCAATCATCTCATTTGATAGGCAAGATGATTTTGTTAGGAAAATAAAAGAAATGAGAAATAGCTCTGGACTTGGACCAAGTGAGGGTCTTAGGTATCTAATGAACTGCTTTTTGATTGTGAAGTCCTTTGATACTTTTTTTTGGGGGGGGTCACAGATCAGTACTGGAATTCTTGATCTAATGCTTTCACTCATTGGCTCTACCACCTGAGCCATGCCTCCAATCCCTATTGATTCTATTTTTAGCTTTTATATTCATAATCTTCAAAGTGGGCTTTACATCTTATGAAGCTTTTCTATCCATTAAAATAACGCACACGCACACAAAAGCTGTTTAGCTTAGCACGTGCATGCATAGCTCTTTCCATTTTTAACAGCATTATTAACAAGAAAAAAATAAAGTTTGAGGTTAAAATAATATATCATTAAACTACCTCTGAGAAACACACAGAAAATTCTGTTGCTTCTGGGGCATAAATAAAACCCTGGATGTCCATGTCTGTGTTCATACTCTACAATTTGTTTGAATTGTGTTCTTCAGAGAAATAGATTAGCATACATTACCCATTCTAATGAATCTAACACAGTTAAGGTATTTTTCTCAGAGTTACATGCATTTGACAGAGTAACGGAGTCAAGTGCTGGGAACCAGGCTTGAAGTTGTGGCTAGTTAAGAGCATGGATGGGTAACAACCATGATTAGTATGTTGCATTTGCCTCTCTGGAGAAAGTTCTGGCCAACTGAGGAGGTGAGTTCATGAAGGAAGCGTCCACTATAAGTATAGGGGCCAGACACTGGGTTGATGCACTCCGATAACATAATTTAGACCTGTACTTGCATGGAAAATAATTATATTTTCAGGGTCTGGATAATATTCCATAATTAAGGGGAGTTCATTAGGAAATAAATTGTTAGAGGAAGATATATACTCAGTAGTGGATTTTTTGAGTCCAGTGGTGTTAAGCCTAGATAGTTGGTTTCTAGCAGAAGATACTAGACCAAAGACTAAATTATTTAAAGGCAAAGAAACAGAAGAATAATTCCAGAAATCCCCTATGGTTTCTTTCACAAAGACACTAATGAAAGGAAATGACAGTCCCGGTTAATTTCTATCACCCACTTGAACAACTGACACTTTCTTCTAGCGTCAATGTCTTCCTCTATAAAGTGGGCATAATAACAACTCTCCTTTAAGAGATTGTTGTTCACCTCCAAGAAGAAAATTGTTCCTCACAAAATTCTGAGTAAAAAAGCCAAGCTTGTCTGTCAAATCTTATTTTAAAACATTTAAACAAGGAAAGAAACTCTTAATTGAAAAATGGCAAGGAAATTATTTTCCTTGAGGATAAAGCATACCTTTCATAAGGAGAGATCTTTGAGAAAATAGAGCAGACCTACAAATAGATTTTTTTAAGAGAAGAAATATCTCCTTAATAGAAATATTTTTCTTAATAGAATATCTAAAAGTTTCAAGACAGAGCATGCTTCCTTCTTCTCTCAGAAGATTTCTAGAAGTTTAAAGATAGAGAATGCTTCATTTTTCTTTTTATGATCCTCTGCTTAACTAAGCCCACTGTAACACTGTTATGGTTTGCTGTAAGTAAGGCACTCTTTAAGGGACTCTACACTATTTCAGCTTATTCAGCACTGTAGTAAAAATTATCTTCTGCTTAAGCAGTACACAAAACTCAAAATTCTTAACTTATGATGTATAATTAATTATAGGCTAGCTATAATGTTTTAACCCCAGTTTAAGTGTTAACTTATTAAAGAATCTATCACCCACTTACCAATATCATTTTGTGGAAAACTTACGTGTGTTAAATGTTATAAAGCAGCTTTTTATATTGTGTGCAAAAAATATCTACATAGTGATTTTATTACTAAAGTATTTCCAAAGTAGACACGATATGAACTAAAGAAGTTTCATGAAAATAATCACTCTCTTAACTTAAAAGCATCCTGTTTAAGAAATTTCTTATGACAAATTACGTATATCTATTTTATCTATTTGTTTGGCTGACAGAACTAAAAGAGAAAAGCAGAGGCTAAGCACATATATAGGTGTGGGCATATACAGTTTCTTTCAATACATAGAAAGTACTGAGAATGAGAAGTAACCTTATCCTAAAGAACAAAGTAAGTAACAAAGTATATGATTCAAAATGACAAACAGATACAAAAAGAAATTCATTCAAACTTACCAAGAAAACCATAATGGCTGTCACTTATTGATTGAATCCTAACTATGTGGCAGGCAGTTTTATTAAGAAGTTTTATAAGGGGACGTGGACAGAAGGGAACCTTACTGTATTGTTGGTGGGAGTGTAAACTTGTTCAACCATTTTGGAAAGTAGTATGGAGGTTCCTCAAAAGACTCCACATAGAACTCCCCTATGACCCAGCAATCCAACTTTTGGGCATTTACCCAAAAGTTTACAAATAAGACCACACTAAAGCTACCAGCACAACTATGTTTATTTCAGCACTATTTACTATAGCTAAGATATGGAACCAACCCAGATGCCCCTCAGTAGATGAATGGATCAAGAAAATGTGGTATATATACACAATGGAATTCAATGCTTCCATCAGAAAGAATGACATTGCCCCATTTGTTAGGAAATGGAAAGACTTGAAAAAAATTATATTAAGTGAAGTAAGCCAGGCCCGAGGAAACATAGGTCCCAAAGTTTCCCTTATTTGCAATATCTAGTATATGTCTGAGTCATGCAGAAAAGGTGATGTTAGGGACATGAACCCTAAGATATGTATTCAAATGTTTTTTTTTCTTTCATGGGATTGTTTCTAATGCATTTATAAGATTATGTCTTTGTTGCTTTGTATGTCCCTCCCCCACAGTATAACCCCTGCTTTCACTGTATTTGATGTGGGTATAATTTGTGGAGGGGAAGGGGAAAAACAAATCGTTTAACTAGGGATACAGGTGGACCCATTGCAACAATGAGATGTACAAGTCGTTATGTCGAAAGTGAACTTTACAACTTTGGTGAGGGGGGGCGAGGTGGGGAACAGGGAGGATTGGGGGGTGGGGGGAGGATGGGAAGGGATGTGAAGGGTAAACAAAGGAGGAGGCTACAATGCTTGATAAGAAATGTACTCATTATCTTGCCCATGTAATTGTAACCCCTCTGTACAGTATTTTCACAATAAACAAATGGGGAAAAAAAGAAGTTTTATATAAATCATTTCTAATCCCAAAGCTGTCCTGTGGAATTGAAGTTATTCTCTTTCCTTTATAAAGCAGAACAAAAGTCAAGAGTGAAGAGTGCCGAGGTAATGAACTACGGGAAGATGGAGTTCAAGCTCAAGGCTCCCTGATGGCGTGTGAGAAGTCTACATTCTCTCCCTGTGATGGACATGCTTCCTGTTGACTAATTTACACCATTTGTGGTGTACCATTCAGCAATGTTTCCTTTTCTTTGAGGATTGTGCTCTGAAACAGGCTGCAGGAAGGTGATGTTCGAGGTGACGGGTTTCTGTTTCAGGAGAGAGAATAATACCTATGACATTGTTGAGTAGTAACAGAAATTTGGATCCCTAAATTCTTTCAAACACACACAATCCAGTCATCTTATTTTTCACTGACTACCCCTCCTCCCATATAGCTCACATGTGTAGAAAGAAATGAGGAAGGAACTACATAAAGAAAATGAAAACTAGCGCCATACAGAAGTAATAAGCATAAATGTTTTGGAAGACTTTCTTTGTCTTTTTCTAGTCTTCACCTTGTGAATCTTACACAATTTTGGAAGATTTTTATTCTCATGATCAGTAGAGCATTTTCCAGGCTTTTCCAAGAATACTTCATAAATGGTAGTTAAGAGGGGGTCCCACTATATTCCACCAAAAAAGGTCAGAGTCTACTTAAAAATATAACTTGTCAAATAGTATTTAAGGTATCTTTAATTGCTACTATAAATAACATTCCTCTTTAAGTACAGGAAACTTGATTTTTCCTTTTTGGCATTGCTGGGAATGAAGCCCAGGATTTCATGTGTTGTTAAAGAAGCACTCCGTCACTGAGGCCGTGTCCCCAGTCCTAGAGGTAAGACTCTTAATACATATTGCAGAACTCTGATGTCCAAGAACCATCCGTTTCATTTATTTACCTAACAAGACAGAGTGGGTAGTACATGCCATGTTTACCCAGTTGGTAACTTCTGGGTGTGTGCGCAAAAATTTTAAGCTCAGTTCTTCTCTCCAAATTTTTTCTGTGGCTACAGCCACATACTTTGACTTGGACACATATGAGTGGTGGGAATGTGAACCATATTCTTAATCTTAATTGTGGAGGGGACACAAATGCAGTGCAGGGTCGTGGAACAATCCTACTCAGAATTCAGACATGAAACCTTCATTATGTATATACAGTCTAACTATAATGCCCAGGCTGCTCTTTAGCGCAGGGGATTCTATAGTTGGGATTAAAGCATGAGCCACTACTACTATGCCTTGGCTTAGTTTAAGTAAATTATGTAAACAGTCTGAGCCTCTGCTCACTTCAGGCTTGAATTAATTATATAAACTTTCTAAGGTGTTTCCTTGCCTAATTAAGGAAAATCAAATTTACCTCAGAGGGTAAATTCATAATGTGTGAATAAAAAATGTCAGCTATATAAAAATCTGGATGCATCGTAGACTTTCAATAAGTGGTAGTTGTTTGGAGAACACTCATGATATTTGCTATCATGTTATGAATCCCATATTATGTATCCCACAAAAGTTGGTTGCTCCTTTGATCCTTTTTTTTTCCTTTTATTTATTCTGGCAGGTATCTGAAGGTTTGAACATCAACCTACTTTTCCAAAGTCGTGATTATTTCATCCTTCTTTCAATTATTTTTTTCTTCTTTCAATTTTAACCCTCTAAAAACATCTGTGTAACATAACTGTCCTAGTTTTAACAGAAGAAATTATACAGAAAATTCATTAAATCATGGGAAATGACTCTGGAGTGTATCACTGTGTTCAATCTTTCCTGCCACCCACCATTCACCACCTACCTGTATTTCACATGGAATGTACATTGGGAAAAGGAGCAAAAGATGAGAGATTGCAAATTAATTTCACCTTCTCTGAACCTTTAGTCCAATCACCCTCTTTCATTCCTTGGTGGAGGTAAATTCTACTAAAGATACTTTGTAGCTCTTTTAAGGGCAAATTCTGAGGAAGAGTAATGTTTAATATATTTTGTCTCTGCTTTCTAAATAATTTGTCCCTACTTCTAAATAATTTCTTCAAATTCTTATTAAATTATTAGAATATAAAAGCTACCTACTGTCAAGATACTTTTAGCAGTTTTAAAGATAACTTTAATATTTCTACCCTTCTCCATACTATTTTTATACTATAGGATTTTTAGAAAATTATTCTAGCCAAACTTATTCAAATAGAACAATTCTGAAGGACTTAAATATCTAATTCCTTCACTACTTCCATTAGAAATTGAGATTCCTGGTTACTAAGTATTTTGATATATTAAAGACAAGTTAGTAATTAAAAAAAAACCTTGATTTTGTATTTCAGAAAATAGAGACTTGTGGACATTGTTTAATATGTTTTATATATTAAGTAGAGTCATACACTATAGGTCTTCAATACAGGTATAAATAAAAGAGTAGGCAAATTAACAGTTTTTATGTGATATCTTGAAATGTACCAGGCATTCATCTTATTATGTTGTATACATTCATTAAAATTGAAGTGAGGAATTTTGAGCTACTCTGAACGATTAAACTCAATTATTTAGGCATTTATTGTAAAAATAAACTAATATGCTTTAAGACCATGGTTTAGTTAGGCACTTTAATAATAACTAATGTGACTTGAATGATCACAGTGAATATTTACATATACTCTTTTATCTAGCTCTTATTACATGAACATTATTTATTACAACAGATAAGAAAATGGAAGCACTGGATGGTCTTAAAACCACACCAACTAGCAGCAGAGGAAATGAAATCTAATCATGTGAACACTGAAAAAAAAAACAAAAAACAACAACAACCATTTTACTGCATGCTTTACATGGTTCCTGTGATGGTGAATAGATCTCTGGCTTATTGCTTTTGAATCAAAGTAGGAATAAGAAATTTATACTTATAAGGAGATCTCAGTTAACTTTAGGAGATTCTGTGACTTCTCAAACCTTTGAAACCTGTTATTATTATGTTCCCTTACTTTTCAACATTTTTAAATTTATTCAACTAGTAAATACTTATTGGGATATATGTGGCTGATGCTGAGTATAACAATGACTTAAGAAATGCTAAACAACTTAAGGAACAATAATTAACTGGGAGAGATAGAAATGAAAGTGTGTATACATATATTACCCTAGAAGCAACCAAATTCAACTGCACAGAGAAAGTGAAAATATAGTACCTAAGACAATTAAGTGAGATAATGTTTCCTGAATTGTTCTATGACTGTGAGCTCCTTGTTTCTGAGGAGAAACAGAACTTGACTCTATATTTTAGAGCAAGGTCTCAATAAATTTCCTTTCAAAACCAAATGTTAGAGTATATTCATCAAATATTTTTCATGTAAGTTACATCAAATGTTATGGGGGAATTTAATTATTGCAAAGTTAAAAGAGTACTTTTTTTTTCCCTAAAGAGAATGGAAGGTTTTTAATCCAAGATAGTCCTTGCTTTGCATATAGCTGCTGTTCCTTTAAAATTGGGTAAGAGTTACACAACTGCTGAGTCAGATGATTTGGCAAGAAAATGGTGGCATTTCAGAGAATGCAGCAAGCATAAACGTTTTCCTGCTGCATCTAGCAAAGTTATTGGTATAATATCAGATATCTGGTTGCTTGAAAGCAAACAAATTCTGATCATAATTTGGAGTCACCATAAGCTGGGTTTTGTTATAAATGTACATACTCTGTGTTTTCACTGAGACACAAAGACTCACCATTTTCTTCTTTAGTGATTTACTCTGTTACAGTGACACTTCACAGAAAATATGTCTCGATTTTAAACAAATACAAGTTTAACCAGTGAAACATTTGTGCTTTGTTTTTTTTTCTCTTAAATCATTTTTGGTGGTCAGGTTTATTACAAATCTAGTTGGGATAATGAAAGGAAACCTGAATTATATGATATATCTTTAAGAAAGTATTGAGATTTACTCACCTTGGGTAAACAGAGGTAAATGCATAGAGTATTTTGAAAAGGTATTATATTGTATGTGTCTTATGTGAATATTTTTTGTCTGGTGCTCTTAATGATGAAGCACCAATATGTCTTCTCTCCCCCAAATGAATTCCTACTGTACAAACCTTACTGTAAAAATCTAAGAGACTATATATATCTATATATAATTAATGTGCATAATAATGTACATAATACATCTACATATAATAACACAGTATATATAATATCTACAGATAATATATATAATTCAAATCATGGATCAACTATTAATAAAGGGGTTTTTCATTTGGTGAATTTTTTTTTCTTCTTACAATTCAGATCCTCTTTCCTAGGATCAAAGTGTGATTGTCTAGGTAACATTTAAAATCTTATCAAAAAGCCTAGGGCTTCAGTTTAAAAGTAAACAAAATAAGTTTTTTAAAAACAATATTAACCGTATTTGTCAAACGTATCCCAGCAGCAACTTATAAGATGATCAACCTCATGGGTTTATTTTAAATGAAGATTCTTATTCCCCCATGCAAAACTGCTAAAACAGATGGGGGGGGGAGGGTGATCTTGTAACCTTAACTATACTGCTTTTACTTCTGACTACTTGTATATATAATTAATAAAGTAAAAGAATTTTATTTATATTTCCCTGGTTGTACAATCATATCAGTTTCAATTTGATTAAATGCATCTTTGTTCACACAGTTCTGAATTTCTACAAACCCTCTTCCCCCTAAAAGAAAAGAAAAAATTTACCAAGCAGGATTGCATGCTCAGCAGGAAAGCATTTGCCTTTCTGTGTAGGCCCCAGGTTGTATCAAAAACATTTTTCCGTCATTCCTAAATTCCTCCTCACTTTGTAATCACTTAAGTAATTTGAGATTTTGTTTTGATGGTGTGGGCGGGGGAAGAACCAGTTGAAGAACTAAAGTTCTTTGTGATGAAAATGTTTATATTTTCATGAACAAAGCCAATGTGTTTGTGATATAAAAATTAAACTAGAACTTAAAATCTTTTTTAAAAAAAGTGTTCTGAGGTTTGGGGGAATTTAAATCGTGTAGCCTGGATTTTAAAATGTGTCCTTTATTCATTGTGATTATGTAGTTTTGAGGAAATATGCAAATTATGTAGTTTTGCGATGCAGTAACAATGCATTTCTGAAGGTATGGAGAAGCACTGAAAAGCACTGATATTTTCTTTAGTCCTCTTTTAGAAAGATGCTATTGGCATTTCATAATTCCAAGCACTGTACACATGTATGGGTTTTCTGGGCATTCAATACAATGCAATGCCTTGAATTAGCACATGGTGAATCTGTTTCAGTTTGAGGTTTGAGTGTATTTTCTAGAAAGGGTAAAAAAAAAAAAACATCTTTAGAAGTAACTTACTGAATAAAACTTATTCCTGGGGTTTCTCCATCAGTTGGCTTGTGGAAGTAAATCTTGTATTGCTGTTTCATTCTTATCAATGCTTCTATTTGAAAGTTTTAACTGAGAGGGATATTTGCAATACACACAAAGTTGAGGAGACGTATCACTACTAGGAAAAAAAAAACCAACCCATCTGGGCCACCCACATTGTCCTGCACCCATACAAGAACCAAGAAGAGAAGTTGGTCCAGGTCTCTAGCTAGTCTGGAAGGGAATGAATGACCGGGAGTCCCCTTCCTCGGTTCTTCTAAATGAGAAAGACTCCTTCCCTCTGTCCACCTCCTCAGAGCCAAGCTTGGGAACTTGCACAAGCCTCTCACCCTTCCCCGCTCCCCTTTCCTACAATGCGGTCGGGCACACCGGGGATCTCGCCCCCTTCGCTGCCCGGGGAAGCTTCCAGCCTCTCCTCTTCTAACCCGTAGACTGCAATTACTTTGATCACATGGCACCTGCAGAACTGGGGAAGAGGCAGGGGTTCTTGAGAAGGCTACAAAGGTGAGTCTAAGTAAATCAAGGGTCTTCACTTTCCCTAGAGTATCTCACCCCAGGAAGCCAGTGGAGACCGGAGGAGGGCAAAGAGAGTGTTAGGGAATGTGGGTAAGTAGGATGCGGTGGGGGAAATGCTTAAGCACCACAGTGCTTCAAGATTCCTTTCTTACCTGCTGGTGCCCTTGGGATTCTGGGGGACATCTTCTGGAATACTCTAAGATTACTCTCCCAAGGTGGTGAGCCAGCCTGAAGTTGTTCCTGGGGCGGACCAGTTGGTGAGGTGGTGGGGGACAGAGTAGAGAAGAGATCCTAGGCAAGGCCTAAGTGCTCAGAGCAGGAGCCTAGTGCAGAGGAGCTGTGGCCTCAGTTTTATTTGAAAACAACTGCAGGCAATCAAGCAAAGGTTGGTTGTCTTCAGCCACAGCCCCCTCAGGCTTTCCCAGAATTTAAAGCCTGCGAGAGAGACTTCCACAATTCAGTTCACCTCTTAGCTCATCAGTCTTGTTATCATTACAGTGTGAAAGGCTTTGAGAATAGAGAAAATATGTTTACTAGTGATGGTCAAAATACTCGGGAAGCCTAAAAAATATTATGATCAGAGCAAATGCCATCCTGACCCCTCTGTCCCTGAGGAAGCCATCATACATGTAAGCATACAATAAAACACAAGCACATGTGCAGAGGGAAATAAAAAGAATTGCTTCCTGTTCAGAATTTCACTGGGGAAAAAAAAAGCCTAGGTTTACAATGTCACCACTTCATAGTCTGTTAAATGTATTAAATAATCTGCAAGAAATATAACTGTCAGCCAACTATGGTGGGGTACACCTTGATAACAGCACCTGGGGGGCTTTGGCAAGAAGACTGGTTTCAGATCAGCCTGGGCTACACAGTGAGATCCTATCTCATAACAAAAGAAAGAGAAAGAAAGAAAGAGGAGTGTGTGAGAAAGGAGAAAAAGAAAGAAAAGAAAGCAAGATGGAAAGGGAGAAAGAAAGAAAAGATGAAAGAAAAGAAAACATAACTAATATTGTAGAAAAGAGCTGCACTACTATTTAACATAGTGCTACAATTTCCAGCAATTTTCAATTTCTTGAAAATACAGACTATATGGACTATTTACCTATCTGTACTGATCCTTCTTAGAATCACTGAGTGAAGCCTAGATTGAGAATAATTGAGTGAAAGCGAACATTTTCATACTTAATGCACTGTTTCAAAGTTGTTTTTCTTGCCTGTGAGGCTATTTATAAAGTGCACTAGTAGGCACTTTTTGGCTAATAAATACAGGCAACACTGTGGTTAGACATGTGAAAATTTTTAGTATTATAATTTTATGTTTAGAAAAAAACACCCATTATTTACCTAATTTAAACTGCAAAAATATTTTCTATCAGCAGCAGATAGAGGTCCTACGATATTTGGGCACAGAGATTCAGTTTTGGTTTGGCCTAGAGTGTGTTAGTTAGTACATGGTGATAAGTAAAAATTTGTCTTAGACACTTTGCAATAGTGAAAAGGCTCAGCCAAATGTTCAGTTTTGCTGTAAAAAAGATGTGTGTTTTTAAAAGATGGGCTATGTCACTTTCTCATATTTTAAAATGGCTTACTAGTCATGAGTAATGGATAATATGTAGTAACAAGTAAGATATTATGTAAAGCAGAGTAGGCTATATTGTGTGTATGTGAGGTTCAGAGTGTATATTTTAAAATTCAACAGTCCTCAAAGAAGGAAATTGGACAAGAAGTTTCAGTTTACACACAGTGCCAGCTAGGATCTGGGCCACATTGGGATCAATAGGTTGTGCTTTTATAGGTAGACTCTATGATAATAAAGAAAAAAACAAAACAACCAGGATCTTTCCAAATAACTTCACAATAAAAATGTGACCATTGTATATCAATTTGGAAGTAACAAATTGACATGCAATGTATCAGGTTTGTGTAGATAAGAAAGTAGTGATGCAGATAATAATGCAGGTTTTATGTTTATATGTATGTGGACATTAAACATATGGCCTCTGGCCTGCTAAGCTACATTCCCCAATCTAATGTGGAATTTTATTGTACACATGTCTAGTCATAAAATGAAGACATAATATATGAGTTTGCTAAAACGTTAAAAACATTAAACAATGATGGCTTACATAACTGCATTAATATTAAATTATTAATCCAAGCAACATTTAACCACTTGTATCAAGGCATTGTATGAATCCCAATATAATCAGTAAAATATATCCTTCTAAATCAAGATAGCCATAGATGAAATACATAAACAGTGAAATATATAATTACATATTTATATAATTAACATCTCAGATGTTTATGGGTGTAATTTAATGCAAAATGTTTGGAAATTGCACATATTTTCAAGATATCTCTTCTATCCAAGCCATCTATATGTTCTTTTATTATACTTGTTGAAAACAGGACTTTTTACAATGTACTTCTAAATAACTTTACACATGATTACTACAAATTGATTTATACTTAAACAACAGGAAATTATTTCTTTCAGGAAACTTATTTTTATAATTTTCATATTCCACAATAAATACACTATAAAATGCTGTTTTACACTGCTGAAATAAAAAAACATAATTATAGTATTTGCATATACTATATTCAAACTTACACATTAGTGGCTAAAGCTTTGCTGATACTCAAAAACTGCCCTGAGAAGAACAAGATCTTTGAATGCTTTCAAGTCAACTAAAATGAAATCTAAAAAGCCATTATATCCTTTGTAAACTCCTTCTAATAAAAAGAACTGCCATAATAATAATAATATGAAAAACATGAAGTGTCCGCTTATTGTAAACCTTCTAGACGTTTCTCTAACTGAACTCCCCCCCCCCCCCC